AATCCATAGTTTACATTAGGGTTCACTCTTGGTGTGTTACATTCTACGGATTTGGACAAATGTATAATGTCGTGTCCATCATTATGGCAGGATAAGTACGTCTTCAATTTTCCTAATAAGCAGAATAAAAGCATGTCTATGAAATAATGTGTGTGTGTGTGTGTGTGTGTGTGTGTATATATATATATATATATATATATATATATATATATATATAAAATCTTCTCCCAGTTTCTGGCACAAAGCTTCTAAAACCCTTGTAATTTTCTAAGTGATAAGAGCACTGGGAATGTCTTTTTTTCTAATATTAGGTCTTTGATCCTAGTTCTGACACAGAGCTCCTAAATCCCTTGGACTTTCTTAGGTGATAGGAGTGTCTTTTGATCTAATGAGGTGACTCTTGGTGGGATCTGGAATAGCTCCTAGATAGCAGACTAGAGGCTGGTCACCAGAAAGACCGAGCCATAATTAGAAGCTTAGAACTTTCAGCCCCTCTTCATCCTACAAAAAGGGGCGAGGGGGTAGAAGTGGAGTCAATGGCAGATTGGGCCTACATGATGAAGCCTCCAAAATCCCAAGGTACGGCTTCTGGTGAGCTTCCACTTTGCTGACCATGGGAGGCACTGGGAGAGTGGCGTGCCTGGGGATGGTGGGAGTGCCGTGACCCTTCCCACACATCTCGCCCAGGTCCTTCTTCCATCTGGATGTTTACCTGCATGCTTTATCATACGCTTTTATAATAAAACTGGTAAAAGTAAATAAGTGTTTCCCTGGGTTCTGTGAGTTATTCTAGCAAATTATCGAACCCAAGGTGTGTATCATGGGAGCCCAGATTTACAGCTGGTCAGTCAGAAATACAGGTGACAACCTGGAACTTGCGCTTTGGCAGCTGAAGTAAGGGGGGAAGGGCAGCCTTGTGAGAGTGAGCCCTTAATCTGTAGGACTTGACACTATCTCCAGGTAGACAGAATGGCGTGAAAGTAAAGGGAAGACACAGGTGTGTGTTTTTTCTTTATGGTATCCTTGGGAAAGAAATGAACTGATGGTGTGCCAGGCCACCTGAGGGAGTGATCAGAGGTGGCAGAGACAGTAGGAAGACACTGCCACAGTTCCGTGTGAGTTTAGAAAGGCCTGGCCTGGAGCCTAACAAGGGAAGTGGAACAAGCAGGAAACAGAGGCAGAGGAAAACTGGCCAGGGACGAAAGATGAGGAAAGGGAAGTATTTCAGAGACCTCTCCACAATTCTGTGTGTGGGTAACTGGAAGATTATTTTCACTCATACAAGCAATTTATTCATCCATCCATTCATCCACCCACCCACCTACCCACCCACTAAACATTCGTTGGCACCACTGCATAGGGCTTCTCAACCTTATAAAAAAGAACACCGTTTATTTCCCTAAACCTTTAGTTTATTGGGTCCCTGTTGTGTGCCAGAATCTATGTCAGACACTAAGTCAGGATTATAAAGACAGTCTTTACCCTGAAGAGATGAGGAAGAAGGAAATAAGCAGTACTAAAAAAAAATGCTGCTTCTGGCAATGTCTGTCTCTTTTCTTTCATTGCTTCCTCACTACTGCCCCAAAATTCCCATTTCTACCTCCAAGAAGGTTCTGGAACCCACACATGTTAAAGATCTGGCTTGATCAACTGGCCTTGAGTAGCCATAATAAAGGGAAAATTTACAAGTTTTTCGGCTTAAATTAAAAAAAAAATCATTTTATTTTTTGTTGCTGTTGTTTTAAGAATTCTAATCTTAAGCATTTCATTACACAGCATATGCCTTTTCTTTGATCCTATTTTAAGTTGACTTAAAAAAAATACTACCAAGAATTGAGTTAGCAGTTTGCATGACAATGAAGGAGGAGCTAGCCTAAGTAAAATACCCAACACAAAACCCAAATGATGTCCTGAAGAACTCAGGCGAGACAATAGGACGGTTGTTTGAAAAGCAGGGGCAGGCCTGCTGGATCTGGGAATTTCCATCCACCTTTGTGTAAGAAAACATTCCAAGAGAAGCTCTCTTATCTGCCTCATCTCTGCATTTCTCAATCTTCCCCTCCCAAGAAACCAAGCAGACACAAATCTACTAACACTGAGTCAGGCAGGCATCTTCCCCTTTTCCCTGGAACTCATTAATAAATCAAAGTTGTTAGGAGTTGCCTCAAACAGTCTTGACTCCTCTCTCTCTGCTCCAGTACTTGGATTTACTCCAAATTCTAAAATGGAAATAAGAGTACTTACCTCATAAGGTTGTTCCAAGGATTAAATCATTGAGCTTGTTTATCCAACATGAGGACGCAGTTAATTAACATGTTTGAATAGATGCCAACTTAAGATTTAAAATCCAATTTCTAAAAATCTAAGTGACTAGACAGGGGCACTTCTATAGCAACAGTAGAAATATCTTGCAAAAGTAGGGAGCAATTAGAACATCACAAAAGATAAGCACTGGAAATGAGAATTTTAAATAAAAATAAAACCAACTCTTAGAATCAAACCCTGTATTTCCTTAGGGTTATATGACCATAGGTGCTTTAACTAATACTAATTGTGTTGCCTCAGGCAGGAAATTTCACCTCTCTGGATGTGTCTTTCATTGAGGAGAGAATATCTCTGAAATTCTCTATCTCAATGTTTCCTTTAGGCTATAGATATTTTGGTTAAAGAGATGTTTTAAACCTAGCTTAAATCCAACCAAAATTATTTCCTGAACAGTTTCCAAGGTATCCAAAACTGACCCAGATATATTGGAGTTCACTAAATTATTAGTAAAAGACTCACTCCTTGACCTTAACAATTAAAGAATTTGACCTTATAATCAAATTAAGGAACCAGTATTCAAATCCTATAAATATTCGCACATTCACAAAGCATCAAATAAATATTTACTAAGTCACATTGCACTGATACTAAGGGTCAAGGAGAACTGGAGTAATCAGAGATGGCTTCAAAGGGAATGGGGGACATCAGGTCAGGTTTGGAGGAAGCATGTGAACCAATGGAAGAAAAGGCACAGGACAAAGAATACGCAGTCTATGGTATTTCTTTACAAAGTCCATGTTCTTTCTTTAATTTCAGTCCTGACTTTTCAACCTTGAACAAGACATTTATCACCTTTACCCTTCAATAAATCCAAAATTACTGAGGGTTTACTATATATAATATTGAGCATCATTTAAATAATGGAGATTTTCCAATTTAAGAAAGGGGAAAACAGCTTTAAGATTAAACAAGAAAACAGCTCAAAACTAAAAATAACCCCAAGCTCACATTATATTGGTTATAAAACAAATAAAACCTGTTCTTCTAAAGAGAATTTTTAAAACTTGCTTTTGCTATTTCACCATTAATCAATTAAAATCAAACTCAGCATGAAAGCTAAATTCAATAAATGTGTCACTTTTTTATGTAGATCAGTCACAATGTGGGAAAAAAATATTTTTACATGAAAATCTCAGGACCTTGTTCCGTCCTCTCAAAATCATAGCTTTTAAAACCACAGTTGTCTTTTGCCACTAAAAACAGTACTTCATTCAACAGCTGTAGAAATAGCCTAAGCCATTCAATAGCTCATTTTTGATACAGCATTGAATTTATCTAGCAAAAACACAACGCATGCATGGGTACTTCCTTTTGTCCTGTGTATTCTAAATCTCAGCCAAAAGCAGAGGAAAGAAAGTACAGATGGACAGGATATCCTCAAATTCTTTGGTTTGCCTTATGTCATTCCAGAGAGAAATCTAGTGCCCGATTCACAGTCAGAAATTCACATTAACTAGGAAGACCTAGGGTAGCCAGTCCTGGGGTTGAAAAGCACGCCTTCTTCATCAGCAGCTTGTCTTGCAACTAGGCAAGCTTGGAAGGCAGGAAGCTTTGCCTAAAGGGAAATCAGGAAATCCTGGCTTTCCAGGATTATCTACTTCATTCAGTAGAGCTCTTGGTTTAAGAGAAAGGGATTCAGTTAAAAATAAAAGCACGCACTCCATTTCTTAAGAACACTAATACAAACTAAGTACCTTAAAATCTATGTACATAAAATTACAACAGATTGAATTTAGAGGTGTAGTGGCATTTCAATGTGTTTGTCCATTTTGACCAAATTCTTAATGCACATTATGTATGTTATGTTAAGTCACTGTACATCCAACAGATTTCAGCAAACAGCCCCGAGGACCTAGTAGTACGTGATGGCTACTATGTTTGGTACTGAGACTATACTAGCTTTTTTTGTGATGCAACACCACATAATCTCTAAAAGCCTGTTATTTCATCTATGTAAACAGTGTGATATATGCATGTCTATGGTGATGATTTAGAGAGCCAGTGAATATAATAAAGTCCTAAGCACAATGTGTGCCTTCACTCAAATCACAGCTTTTTAAAAATTTATTTTCTTCCTTTTTTTTTCTTTTTACAATTACAGAGGAAACCGGACACATACAGCCTTATAATCCTGAAGCTCACTGTCAAGGAGAAGATATCGAAAACAATGACCAGACCTAGAGATGATGATATAATGATCATGATGATGATACGGATGCGGATACCGCTACTACTACTAATAGCAGCTAGTACTTACTTAGAATACACTATGACCACACAGTATTTCAAGCTCATAGCTCATTAGTCAATCCCTATAACAACCCTCTGAAGTGAATAAGGCCATGATAGTTGATATACGTATATGTGAGAGTGACCCTCTAAACCTCATTCTTGAGCTGGGAAAGTACCTGCTTGGGGTTAATAATATTAATCCGGTAAAATGATGCAGGGTTGTGGAGTTGGGGTGATGGTAAAAGAAGTTCTGAGCAAAAGGAATTAACGTGTACGAATGCCCAGAGCAGAGAATGCGCACAAGGATGACAAAAGAACTAAAAGAAGTTCAGTTCAGGCAATGTGTATGCGAGGTTCTAAGCAATCTATAAATCCATATACTACTAGGTAAAGGTGTTACTGGAGTGATGGAAAAAGAGAGGCAAACTGCCAGAGACGCCCACCTGTCAGCAGCAGCCTGTACTGGGGGATCCTCTGAACAGGCTTGAGCAGGTAGTGCTTGAGGGCCAGATTAGCACAGCGCGGGCTTATCTAAAAGGAAAAGACATCCGATGATGTAAACACAAGCGTTTTTTTCTAAAAAGCAAGGGTCCCCGATTCAGGTGTCCAGGAAGCCAGACTTTAAATAGCCAGCAGCTCTGGAAGGAGATTCATGTAAAAGCTCCCTTTATTTTAAGGTACAGCTGTGATGCTGAGAGTGAAACCAGGGCTGATTCATATATAGCCCACCCTCTCCTGTAGGTAGGTTTCTGATATCACGACTCGTTGGGAAAAAACTTGTTCACAGCCTTCTCACAGAGGGTGGCAGAGGCAGTCTGCCTTGTAAGCCAATTAGAGCCCATCCTACTCAGCAGCTGCCAGTTAGAAGAGCATTTGCTAATGTATTCATAAACATAAACAAACTCCTCCACCAAGAAGGAAATGCATGATCCTTAAAAGAAGGTGGCGGAAATAGAACCACTGGGAACTGGATTCCAATAATAGGCAGAGCCTATCAATGTACTCGGAACAACAGGTGGTTCTGGAGAGAACTGCAGAAATTAAAGATAACCTGAAAAGCAGCTTTGCACCTGTTCTCTAATAAGCCTGCAGAATGCAAAATTCTTTCTCAGGTGACTCGCTGTAAAAGACAGCCCCCAAATCACAGTGTATATAGGAACATTTGATCTGGAACCATTTTGACTTGACTACACAGATATTTGATTCTGCTTTGAAAGCTCTTTTCCTTCATATGTACAACAAACGCTTCTGCCCATTCCCGAGCTTCACCCCATTCTCTATCACAGGAGTTTACTGTGAGGTAGCATCAAAACAGCCAAATTAAAATGTCCCTCATGCTAAGACGGCATGAGCTTCTTACACCAGCTCCAGAGTCTGGTACACAGGATACTTATGAAATTAGAATGATAATGTATGTTAAGAAAGCATCTATCATGCAAGCATCATTAATCAAGACAGGGAACTTTCCTGTCTTACGTTCTCTTTCGCTGCCAAGGCAACAGATTCCACAGCTATATATTTCACACTTCCTTTCTTAATAGCATGAAGACATCAGCAGAGAGGTAAAGGAGAAGAACAAAAGACTACAAACAATTTAAAAGTTTAATCACTTGTCTACTGTGTAAATTAGAAATCAGCAATAGCTTAATATGTCTAAAACTTTTCTAGATTTGTGTGGCTGGAATTCACTCATATTTTTAGTTTCAAAACAGAAATAATCAATAAAATATATATTAACCTTCATTTTACCCAAAATTGGGGAAGGGGACTTAAGGAAAATTTTAGTTAAAAACTAATTTTTAAAAAGATGCATTATGTCATTTTATCATGAATCAAACCAGGCGTGTACCCTCATAGCTTTGAGTCAAAACACAAAGCTTTGGCAATAAACATGGTGTTCATTTTTCATAACTTTCACATTAAAACTTGTTATTTATTTATCTAAAGGGAAAGAAATTATATTTCCCATCTATCATTGTAGATTGGTTGTTAGAAGAAAAAAAGGAAAGGTTGAATTAAAAATAAAAACTGGTCCTTAGAGTAGTCAAATTCATAGAGACAGAAAGTAGAATGGTGGGTGCCAGAGGCCGGAGGAAGCAGAAAATGGGGAGTTGTTCAATGGGTATAGCTTCAGTTTTGCATGGTGAAAACAGTTCAGCAGATTGAATGCATAACGAAGTAAATGCATTCAATACTACTGCATGTACACTTAAAAACAGGATGGTCAAGTTTTATTTTATGTGTATTTTACCACAAATTAAAAAAAAAGAGAGAGAGAGACCCATTATAATATTCCAATGTGTAACGGATTTTCAAAATTAAATCTTGTAGACACTGAGTTCTCACTATTTAATTTGTTCAATTCCCTCTTTGATTTTGAAGGGATTATATTTTACTGTCTTTTTGTTTGCAAGGTTTATTTTCAATGACTACAAATTATTAAAGTTTTAAAAGCAAACAAACAAACAAAAATGTTCAACATTAGATGGTTAACAAAAATACCTCAAATTCTCTAACAACAGCAGCGAAACCCGGGTTTTTCTTGCACTGCTCATCCAGCAAAGCTATATTCTTATCAAATTCTTTGATGTATGTGGAATACATTTTCAGATATGGTCCCTTCTTTACAAAAATATCAGCAATTTTTTGTTGTTCCGTCCTAAGGATAGAGAAGCGATACATAAAAATATAAAAAGACAGTCATTAATGTATCCAAAACATATCCAAAGAGCAGATTCCCATGTCCAAGCCATCTTTTTTCCTCTTCTTGTGAAACATATCCCCAAATGCCTACTTTTCACCGTTTCCACTGCCACCATCACATCTTTCCTGGACTCTGCCAGAAAGATGGTCTCCCTTCTTCCACCATCTCATTCTTCTGTGCGGCCAGAGTCTAGAAACGGGTATCAAATACCAAACTCCTTACCTGGGCTTACAAAGACCCACAGGAGCCACTGTTCCTACCTCTATGACCCATCTCACCCACTCCCTCTTGCTTATTACTCTCCAAACACACTTGCCTTGTTCATATTCTTCTGACATACAGAGTCCATTACCATTTTGAAACTTTTACTAATGGTTCCACATGCCTGGAAATATGGAATGCAGGTTGCCCCTCCTTTTTGTTCAGATGTCAGTTTAAATGCTCTGCCTTCTTAGAGAGCCTTCCTTGGCCACCCAATCTTTATTCACTAGCACATCACTCTATTTTAAGTCCATGCGGATCAGAAACTGCTATCTCACTTTTTTTTTTTTTGTATATTTGTCTGGTGCTTCTCCCACTAAAATATCTGTTCCATGAGACATGTCTGTTTTGTGTGTTGTGATTCTCCTTGCATGCTTAGAGTGCTGACTAGGACACAGTAGGCATTCAAAACCTTGTTGAATGCAGAAATGAAAAATTTTAATCAATCGTTATGAAAAGCCAATGTAAAAATAAATGTTACTTCAGAAAGTCTATTAAAACCAAAGAATGTCTTAATTCAAAGACCCAAGAGAAAAATATTTTAATAAGTAGAAAATATCTTATCCAAGGATTAGAAAAATTTTGTCAGTATATAATAAGCATAGCTTATTATAGAATTGTTTTAACTGTCCCTTAAGTTAGTCTATCTCTTAGGAATGCTGACTATTTTAACACAGAACATCTATAGATCTAAATTTGAGAAAGCTTTTAGTACAAGCAAAAAATATATTTAAGCCTCCACTTGCTTGCATAAATATGCACATTTTAAAAGCCAATTCCCGATTAAATTTTTTTTTCTTTTTTAAAGATTTTTATGGGGGATTGGGGGGATGGGAACAGCGCTGGGGAATTGGGGGAAGGGGCACAGACAAGTTGCTCTCCTTTTGTTCTTCAGTCTACTTGTGGAGGATGTTGCTTCACTGGCCCAAGTTGGCACCATCATTGTGCTCTTCCCGGGCGAGGCAGATTAGTCGCCGGCTTCTGGACGGCGGCTCACGCTGGCTGCTGGCTACATGGTAGCCCATGGCAACCCACTGCCACAGGGGCTGCAGCCTACGCCCGTCGCTGGGGACTCACGGCAGCCCAGCTCCAGGTTGAGCTGTTGTTCAGCATCTTAGCTGTGGAGGGCAGTGTCACTGGCCCTCATATGTGGGATCCGAACCGGGGCCCTCTGGCGTCCCAAGCCAGTTCTTAACCATCGCGCCACTCGGCCGGCCCAATTCTGATTAATTTTTAAGATAATTTTTTATAAGAATGATGAAGTATGTACAGGAATTCTTTGTAAATATTATTTTATTTCTACTGTGACTTTAAAAACTACCTTTTAGTCATTCCTCAGTCCTTAACTCCGGGTTATTTTATACTTAAACTGCAGCTAAGTATTAATTGCTTATCTAGCATATTTTCCCAACAAGCAAAGGCATGTTTCCAAAACAAGCAGTGGTATTTTCCTGGATTATATAAAAAGAGAGCTTGGAGGGAAACAGTGATCATGAAAGTATGTAATACTGTTTTGTCATTCAAATCTTTTTGGGTTCCCCATGAACTTCAACAATTAATTTAATCCCCTATACCAAACTTTCTACATATTTCCAAAGCTGTCACCAAAGTTTCTACTTATTTTCTACAGCTGTTAATCTTTTGGTATGCTTTTCCTGTTCTGAAATCTACAGCATCTACAATGATGTCAGACACATGTAAATTTTCTGAACCAACCAAACCAATCATCAAATTATCTCAATGAATGGCCACTTTTCCAAAATGTAAAGGGAGTTTCAGGACTTGAAGCTCCAAAACAGACAAGACATTTACAATGTTTTCTAATGGGAAAATAGCAACTAGACTCTGTCAATCTCAAAAATCTTGATGACCAAAAGTCACTTAAAAAGTTAAATTGGCTGATTATAGGCCCTTCTTGTTTTGAAGGCAGCATTACCAAAGCATTTTCACATTTACAGTACTGAACAGAGTATACCAAGGTTGTGGATTTGGACCATCTAAAATGATCAATCTATGGGTAAACGCTAAGAAAATTCAATATACTGAAACGACTCAATGTAAGGAACAACACCTCTCCTTATGACCTCACTGAAAACTGGGAAAGCTGGTCAGTCCATTTTTACCAGTTCGCCATTCGTTCCTCCAGCTCCTTCAGGAGATCCCGGTTGAGCTCATACAGCTGAGGCAAGTAGTACAGGATCTGATTTAGGGTCCGGTCCTCAATCACTGGTTTCCCAAGTTGCCTGGAAGCATGGGCTACCGCATCCCGGAAATCCTATTACAATACAGAGGAGGAAAAACAACATGCACACACATATAACTTGATAAAAAGCTTTTTTCCCTAGTCACCTTCTACCCTAAAACAATATAAATGGCAAAACTGTATTTCTCTTTTAAACTACAAATTGAAAAGTATCCACTTCCTCCTATCCCACTTACCAACACTGGAAATTAAAAACAAAGAAGTGCCTGGGGTAGATATTTGGTTTTAAAACAAGATTGTGTGATATTTCTCTTAAATCCTTTAGTGTGATCTCCAAACTTAGCAATTATACCAAGGGGGAGTCTAGAAATTGTATTGCAACTCTAAATAGTTTCTATGGTTATTTCAGTACTGCTATATGAAGACAATCCATTTCTTTTCAAAGTCCCTGGGACATCTTACCTAATTTTATTTTGGAAAAGGCCCTTTGTGCACTTTCGGTAATCATTTCCCAACAACTGGAGCATTCTAGGTGAGATATGTAAAGGGTGGCACATTTTTTTTTTTAGCTGAGCCAATCTGCCACCTGTTGGCAGCTCAGCGGCAGCTCAGCTCGGACGGGGACTCGAACCACTGTTGCTCAGAGCTCGCACTCTTGAATGAGCTCTTAACCAACTGAGCCGCTCAGCAGGCCCGGCACATTCTTGATAATCAGAGAATACTGGATTCCAGCCCTCACTCCTGATTAACTGTGTTTCCTTGAGCTAGCCTCATTTTCCTTATCTTTTTCTTTAACATTAAAAATAAAGCCAAATAACAATGCATTTCGTTGGTACCAAGTCCTTTGAACAAAATGATTTTCTTGTATGATAGAAAGGTTTCATTTCATTGGACACTATTCACTCATTGGTTAAAAGAAACCTGTCCAGGAAAGTATGTAAGAGGGAAATCTAAACATGGTTGAGGCAGAAAAGTAGTTTCTGAAGAAAACCAGTGATATTCTCTTAACAATGAATTTTATGTTATTTCTAGGTTGGTGGGGTTTTTTTTGTGTTTTTTTTTTTTTGCTTCAGAGAGGGAAGGGCAATATGCTTAACTAAAAAATGCTTTCTCTTCAGATTCCTCTTCTGCTAAGGATGGCCATACAAGCCATCCAATTCTAGCTACTGAGATAGAAATGAAAAGTTCTGTGTAGGGCCTCAGGAATATCTTTTTAATGGGAATAGATTTTTTTTTTTACCTTCTAAACTCTGTCATATTTAGGATTATAGATAATTTTTTGAATTATGGAGTATTTCGTCTAGGTATAAATTATATATTATCTAACAGATAACCTTTAGAATTTGAAGTCTGGCCTTGTTGCCACTGTCACTGTTTAGTTTTAGTATACTATATGCCATTTACATCCAAATTGAGTTTGTTTTTCTTCTTTAAAAGAGGTTTGAATTTTTTTGGGGGGGGGGTGTCACATATTACTAGGCAATAGTAAGCCATCGTTCTGGTATTGCTCAGTATTTATTTTTTCCTTTTGACCCCCTTCACACATTTCTCCCTCTCATCTGTTAAATGAATTATAAGACTTTAAATATTGCACCTAAAGCTTTCTACAATGTGTTTGTCAAACAGAATCAACAAAACATTTTAACTCTGGACCTTAAACTCTCTCCTTCCTTCTAAGCCATCCTTCCCACTAATTCACCAGGATTTACATTTTTTACAAACAAAACATTTTCTCTTCACATACTCTTTTTCATTGACTTTTTCCTAAAAGGCTATTTATAACAAGTTTTAAGACAGGTCCACACCACTCCACCCAGTCATTTCCAGGACTTGGAGTGGGTGGTGTAGGAGGCTGGTATTTTTGTCTAGACTGCACTATCCCCTGAGGGTAGGCCTCAAGACATAAGTAAAACAATAGTGGAATCTATTCCACAATCCTAAGGATTTCAAAAACAAAGAATGTTCCTTCTTAGAAATGGCAAGTTTAATTATAAGCTTATATTTTTTAGGGGGCCAGTTGGACTCATGTCTTGTTAGGGAGACCACTTCATAGTCGGTGTAGAGGCCTGACCATGGCACTGTATTTCTGAAGCTGATGTTGAATAATATTGTATGTCAACTATAATTATATATACATATAGTCACGGGATGAGGAGTAGAGTGTGGGAATGGAGTCAATGGGATGGTAATAGATAAGTATGATACTGGGGGTGGGAGGGCAGTGGATGGGGAAGGGGAGTTGTTTCTGTGTGAAGGGTGAAAAGGATAACTATTGCATTGTTCTGTACACCTGAAACGAATAATAAAAAATAAATAAATAAAACACTATGGACAGATTAAATAAAAAAAAAAGAAAGCTTAAAGCAATGGTTGGTTAAACAGACTCTACTTCCCACCTTTATTTCCAACTGCTTTCCCTTCAGGGATTCACTGGGCAAATCAAATAAACAGAAAAAAAAAAAAGAAAAAAAGATACTGATTTCTCCCCTGAGCCCTTCAACACCTGCCTCCAACATACATATATTAACTGTAAGTATTTCTTATGCTTCTCGCGAAGGATAAAAAGCTCATATATAATTTTAAAATATATGAAAGGATTTCTCTTCTAAGGTATGGCTATTTTAGACAAGTCAAATCCTCTTATACTCAACAAATGCTAACCATCCCCCTTACCCACCCCCAAAACCCTTCACTTAGGCCTCAGTATTTGAGATTAACTTTATCTGCCCAAAAATCACATTAGCCCAAAGGAGCCGTCTACTTACAATAACTAAAGAACTACTTTTACAACTAATTACTGTAATATAAAATAAGAATTCATAACTTGCATAAGTTCTAATCCAGAAAACCACACAAAACATCTCCAGAAACCAAATGGATAACAGCCAAATTCCACATCCCAACAGCTTGTTTCTATCAGCACTCACATTTACTAGGAAAAAATAGGGCTACTTAACACTTTGAAAGTTATTAGATTTTCCATCATGTGGAACTATAGAATATACTTACATATCAAGAATAATTTCCTCGATTGTAAGTGTATTCAAAACACAACAGTTAAACACCTTCTATAGTATTTTGTTTTTACGAGTTTAACAATATAGACACAAGAGTTCCATGTTCAATAAAGCAGTAAGTACTGGCCTTCTTCTGGTAGGATAAATGATGAATCTTTTTGTCCCTTGGCAGCAGGTTGGCTTTTATTTTCCAGTTGGATGGTATTTCCTCAGTCACAACAGTGACAGTGGACATTAGCTGCTACGTAGCTTAAGGACCCTGTTTGACATAGCTTTTGCCAGACTCTGCATTCCATATGTCTGTCACCATTGCCAAAAAGGAAACTTGTTTATTTAAGACACAGTCAACAGGAGCCAGCCAAATCCATACTGGGCTGACCTGTGGGATGGCCACCTCTAATCGGAGGCCCCTGTCGCATACCAGGCAAAACTTGACTTTTCCAGTACTACTGGGTGGTAAAAGCAACTCTGGATGAACCAATAGCCCATAACGTCTTTTTAAAAATTATGAGTTGGCACAGGATGTAGAGTACAGCATAGAGAACAGTCAATGAAATTGTAACAGCTATATATAATATCAGAGAGGTAGCAGATTGGGGGAGGGGGAGTTATCACTTAGTGAGGGGTGTAAATGTCTATTACATTGTTTTGTATACCTGAAACTAATAAAAAAAAATTATGAGTCGCAAGTCAAAAAGAAATTTAGTAATTAAGTAAACAAAAGAAGAACATTTAATAAAGACTCCAGGGATTTAGAGAATTTATATCCAGCTACCTATTACGAATTATTCCTAAGACTCACAAAGGTATATATTCTTAGCAAGCACTACCAGGGCATTGCTGGTCTTCATGGTACTTTTTTGAAAACAGAAAAGGGCACAGCACTCCTATTCTAGGCCAATCCAATTCACACCAAAGGCACTACTCACAACTCATGGCCTTCATAACCACACACGGCAGCCCTGGCCCCAATCTCATCTCCTCACCTCTGGGGCCACCATCCCCAGAAAATAATGTTTAATGGTCCCATGGCCAGGTGTTCACACAGGAATGACACACTGAATTTTAACTTCTCAGCTATTCATGAACTTCAACCATTCCTAGAACTGGTGCCACTAAAATGGGGAAACATTTTTTTTTTTTAATAAAAAGGATGATTACAACACATGTCTGGTTCTTTTTCTAAATGCCGACATCCGGGATAATTTGAGAAAGCGTGATGACACTTAAGAGCCAGAAGTAAAGCTATTTTGGGGCCAAAGAATCTAAATTCACCAACACCTCCTTGACTAAATCAGTGAGGATGCAAGACCGCAGGACTGGCACTTCAAAAATTAGATCTAGAATATACTTTTCCACAGTGGAAAAGCTAGGTAATTAAGAAGAGTTGGGGGAGTTAAGTGTGAAAATGTTCGGTGGCAGAGTTTATTGATGTCAATGACATACTCTTCAGCCTGTTCTTCTAACACAAAACCCACTAAAGATTCACTACGCAAAACTGAACCGCCTGTACTCTAGAGTTTCTGGTTACAGTAACTAAATACTTGTTCAACTTGGCATTTTTAGAAATAGAGATGGGCTTCTGAATTATAAAGCAGATCATAATAATTTTAACAATTACCAGAAAACCTACAAATTACAAACCAGACCAACTTTTAAAAACTCAGTTCCTTTGAGGTATGAACACACTAGCTTTACCAGCTCTGATCACTTGGGTGAGACCTAAGCAAAATCAATGCAAATAAAATCAAGTACGAACATCTAAGGCAATGAAGCACAAAACAGATGGCCTTGTTCCTTGGATCCAGCTTTATATCTTCAGTGCCAAAGAGAAGTAAGTGACTTAATTACCAGCTGTCCTGACTGGGCTTCCTGACCTTGGGGCATTACTTAACCACTGCCATGACACAGTGAATTACAAAGACCAAATGGACATATGGGGAGACAGTGGGCTCTGCAGGGCTCCCAGCCTCCATGAAGGACATTAAAAATCACTTCAGATTAAGCAAAAGCAAAGCAGCTGCTAAGGTCAAAGAGCTTCGATAAATATGCAGA